TGTACACACTGTCAGTTTTAACTTGCATGTCTGTGAACGTCACCTGACAAGACAATTATTCACTCCTCTCCCTTGTTTTTTTACAATTTTTTTTTCATAATTTCCAGAGGAAAAGTTCATTTTCTTGTCTTCAAGTGCTACTTTATTCTTTTGGTATTTCGTATGATCTGGTGGGGAAATGTCTGGCTAACCCTTATTACAATGTAGCTTTTGTGTCTCAAGTGAAGAAACTTACAAAGACTCTAGTAGATACTACTAGTTGTGAGAAAAAGAATTATCCACAAAATTTACCTTCAGGTCATCACCCCCTCCCGAAGAAATACAGAAAAATAGATCTACTTGGCTAATCTACTTGGCCTGGCTAGTCAAGGAAACATAAGGGCCTTGTACATGCCCATATACATATGTGGATCCTGTGCAAAGCTGCTCACTACTCAGCATAATCTGACTGCAACCACTAGCACTCTCTTGTATGTGCTTCCAAGGGCTCTCTTTAGGTAACTGAAAATCAGAGGGACCATGTATAGGACCATGTGGGGATTTGATTCAATTCTTAACTCTTCATTGCAGTATCACATGTTAGCCTAAACATGCCAGAAGTATGGCGATGTCAAGTAAGGTTGCAATGACTGTTGTCATGCATCTGGAGTATTTAGCTTTCTTGAGAGTACTTTACATGTACCGGTATGTACACTACAGACACACTCATAAACTGCAAACAATTCCCCTGCAGCAAGATACTACGTGTATTATGAAAGGCACTAGGAGGGTACAAGACAGGAAAGAAGATATTCCTGACCCTTGCATGACCAGTCAATGGAATGTCAAATTTCCCTTGTGGTTTACTGATGCTGGTTAGTCTGGCCTGAGAGAGCCTAGCTGGTTTAACAGGACGCTTTCCTGCATAGCTCAAACAAAAGATCAGTGACATGTACATGTACATGTACATGTACATGTATGTTCTAGCCTGGTATCTTCAAATCTGTAATGTGCATATGTCATCATCACTTAGTGGAGAATTTTTTTACCTTAAATTACCAAAAATTACCTTAAGAGATCTCAATTTTTTTCAAGAAAATTATCAATCTCTTACCATTTACTTAAAGCAGCACAAATGGAAATACATCAGGCCATGCAGGCTTAAGGTTGTTCTCCTGAGACTATTGTCTAGAGGTCTCCTCTGTGCTCTGTGGCTAGATAGATAAGCTATGAAAACATGTGGTAGTGATTACAGTTTGGTGGTCAGGAGGGGCTCTCTGGGCCCTTACTGTGAAGACTTACATTAAAAGCCCTGAATTTGTTTGGATAAGAGTGGAGGCGGGGCATGGAAAATTGTTACACAAACCCAGTAGCACCCAGAGCTACCTTGGTGATAAGTTCTTCCAAGGGTAGTTGTCTAGCGTTTGAACACAGTCTCACAGTACAGTTCAACTACTAAAACCATGTCCCATTATGTCCCAAGTTCTAACAAGGCTTTATTCTTCTTTCTTTCCTCTTATTGACTAAATAGTGACAAATCAATTGTAGATAACCAGAGCAGGTATCCTCTTGTATTGACCCACAAAAAGCTCTGGCCTACAGCCATCAGCTGAGATGGTCGGACAAGAAAAAGCAAGAAAGTTGGTTGGGGAAGTGGATGGTGCAGCAGCTGCTCCAACCGTTACACGGCCCCAAAATCCCGAGGACATCCAGTCTGGGAGTCTTGCAGAACTTCAAAGTGGGATAGGAGAGACATTTGTAACCAAGGGCTGAAACTTGATTTCAGGGTGTGATCGAGCCATGATATAGTGGCACAGAAGCTATGTACATGTGGAATAAGATATGTTTTGTACTATATTATACCCGCAATAAGGTAAATAATAGAAGTTGCTAGCCTAAATCAAAATTAAAAGCAAAAAGTGCAAAGCTATCAGTAATCTCAATGCCAAATCGCAGGGCATTGGGTTGTCATGCAGCGGAACAAAGCCAATAATATGCATTTCTGACAATTTTTACCCAAATCAAGCTAGTACATTGTAGTAACATCTGTATGGACAAATGATACATTTTGTGGGTATTTTATGAAATCTTTTTAAAAATTTAGATTTCTGCGCAGAAATCTGTGCAGAATTCTGCAGATTTCTGCAGAATTCTGCAGATTTCTGCAGAAATCTTCACCCTGTGTGTCAATGGAATTTCCCTTATGGTTCATTCAACTGATACTGCTGGTTACTAGCCAGAGTGTCAGCCTTTGTAGCTTTCATCCGCTCCCCACACTCTTTATACGGGTAGCATAGTGGGAAGTAGATGAAAGATAAAAAGGCTAACACTCAGGCTACCTGGTTACAGGATCTGGTCTTATGCTTGCCTGTATAGCTCAAACGAAACGTCTGTTACGTTGTATGTCCTCGTCTGTAATGTGTATAGCTCGTCATCACTTTGTGGAGAATTGTTTTACTTCATAAATTACTTTAAAGATCACAATTTTTGTCAAGAAACGAAAAGAACAGCATACAGTGCGAAGCTATCCCCATGCCAAATAGCAGCGCACTAGGCACAAGCCAAATTGAATGCATTTCCGACAAGTTATGCCCAAAATACATGTAACCTGATAGTAGCATTTTTAGGACAGTAAATCTACCGCTTATCACCATAATGATACATTTTGTAGGACAGTACGGTACGAAATCTTTTAAAAAGCAGATTTCTGCGCAGAAATCTGCGCAGATTTCTGCACCCAGCGCAGATTTCTGTGCAGAAATCTGCGCGGGGTGCAGAATTCTGCGCAGAATTCTGCAGATTTCTGCAAGAAATAACTGGATCCCTAGGGAACTATCACTGTTATCTACATAGTTGTTGTCATCTTCTACATCACCATGTGGAATGTCAATTGTCCAGGACAAACTATACTTGAAAAGTGAGAGGTAGTCCGGAATTAGAGTGTCTGTCCGGAATTAAAGTGTCGCCTGTTAATACTAGTAGATATAAGAGGGCAACTTACACTTGTAATATACTAAATTTATAAAAACCGTCATCGTCTTATTATTATAGCAATATAAGTAAAACAATAATAATTTCTCACGAGTAAGATCACTACTGTCTGCCAAGAAGTGCAGTAAGTTCTGCCAAGAAGATTAGTGTAATAAGTTCTGCCAAGAAGTGCAGTAAGTTCTGCCAAGAAGTGCAGTAAGTTCTGCCAAGAAGTGCAGTAAGTTCTGCCAAGAAGTGCAGTAAGTTCTGCCAAGAAGTGCAGTAAGTTCTGCCAACAGTTTCAGTTTCAGTTTATTGAGATACCCTTTAGCCCATTATGGGCTATTCTTCCAGGGTTCCAATACAAATACATGTAACATCACAATTACAGACACAATTCTACATATTTACACTTAACCTACATGTACAGCATGAATCATTCTAGTATTTCACAGTCTATCTGTACCCTTTCTGGATGCATGGATACAAAAGTTCTCACCACTTGGCTGCCTGCTCATAATGATCTTTCTGCAGCTCTGTTGCCCAGGCATCATACAGGTCCAGTATTACAGGGTCATGGGGAGGGAGACGGGCTTTGGCCAGGGCAACAGCCTCTCTGGGGAGATCAAGAAAACATCCGAAAATTTGATATTGACCAATCAGGAGGAAATAATACTACACAACAGAGAATAAATAGTATCATGAAAGTTCATCTGAATGTGTTGGTAGTTACATGATTGTTTAAAGTTAAAACTTTCGTTCCAACACAAAAAAAAAATTCTCTCAATATTTCTTGAGAGGGGTGAAGGAAGCCATATACATCAGGGCCCATCACCCTACATTGAACCGCGACGGGGGCCAACATCGTCTACCAGATACCTTTGACCCAGTGTTGACGTCACACTTCAAAGAAGCCACGTGACAAGCTTCACTGGGTCAGTCTACTGAGGAAGACCAGAGTGACTGGTCAAAAGCTCTAGGTGAGAGAATTTTGGAACAAAAGTTTAACTTTAAACAGAGAATAAATAGACTAGAGTAGGTTTCGGAAAGATTCGACATGCCAAGATTGCAATGTACCCGGTAATGAAATATTTCGTCTGGAAATGTTGGATGAATGTAAAATAAAATCTGTAATCTTCTTTACAACGAATATAGTACTAAAAGGACAAAAAATAATGTGTTCTCAAATGAGTAAAAGCATGTATTGCACATTATTGAATCTTCAATTCAAATTACAAAATAGTTATACATATATTACAAATTGTATAGTATACAAAAAAAGTCAAGTTGTTTTTCTTTAATTTTGTTATATTTTCTGAAATCACATCTGAAGTGCAACCACAAGAATGGAGAGCAACTGTCAATAAACTGAATAGTCAGTGAAGACAGACTCAGAGTCTACATTTATGTATAAGTTCCTGCACCTGATTTGTCTTTATGAAATAAAGACTAAGCTTTAACTTCTAACACTTAGATTACAGAATTGGGACTTACCCCAAATTTTCGGTTGACTCCATCAATCTTGTTCACGGAATGGACCCGTCTACTCTTGGAACGTGATGTCAGAGACACGTGACCGTAGTAGCGGGTCATACGTGCCAGATAACTTGTGTCGCCCCCCGTCTCTGTTCAGGGTAGGTCTGCATGTGAGCTCTTATGTAGACCGCCTCCTTTACTCCTCTTGCAAAGAAGTCCAATTCAGTCTCTGATGTCACGTTCCAAGAGTAGACGGGTCCATTCCATGAACAAGGTTGATGGAGTCAACCGAAAATTTGGGGTAAGTCCCAATTCTGAAATCTAAGTGTTGGAAGTTAAAGCTCAGTCTTTATTTCATAATGACTTGTACCAACACAGATGAACTTTCATGCTGACTTGTGTTGTCTTGTACAAAGTGTCGTAGTACTTACCTGAACATTTTGTTGTTTTTCAGCAAGGCGATAGCCTGGTGGACTTTGTGACAGGCCAGCAGGAACGTGACAGCCTTGTAGTGCTGGTCTTGTCCACATAGTTGCTGTGCATAGTCCTGGACAGTCTGTACCCACACATCATGACCAGCTGGAACACAAGTATTCACTGGGTTCTACAAGTATAGGTCAAGTGTAACATGTCTACAGCACATTAGTAGAATGTAATGCTTACGTCTTGTATCAGTTAAGTACTAGTCTTGTGTGAATAAGGTCATGTGTTTGTAAACCGTAACTTTCGCGAGATCACGTTGAGAAGTGATTGGTCATTAATTATCCTGATGAAGGCGACAGTGGTCGCTGAAAATTTGGGTAACTGATTCCATCAAGATTTCCTATGAAAATATGTTAACTTTTCAGACACAGGCTTGAAAATGACGTGGTTGTCATAGGCAGAGATTGGGCCATGTGCAGTTCTAAATATTGCCAGTTGCAATGGACAAGTGGATTAGGCAAGTCCCTTAATGCAAGTCTATGGGGGAAAAATCAGGACCAAGAGAAAGTGGTCGTTATGGAATAAATACCAGCTTATAGAGGGTGGTCGCTTGAGCAAGTTTGCCTGTACATATAGAATACAACACAGTGTATACCTTATCGCCCAAGTTACCAACAGCCCGACTGCGCATTGAATCGCCCGACGGCCTAAGGCCTAAAGGGAGATCCGATCCGCTGGAGGGCTGGGACTGAGTATGATACGGAATGCACCGTGTTGTATTTTATGCCTTTCAATGCAAAATGAGTGAAAATTTGGTGTCCCTAAACTAAAAAAATGCAACAACATCAATTCCAATGTCAGAATTTGTATGCAAATTTTCCAAAGCGGTGCACGCAGTTAGGGCAAAATGCACGGTAAAGTACGGCCCAGTCCGGAACACCCGTATCGAACGTAATCGCAGCCCAGGTATGACATAAATGTACTAATACTGCAGAATGATAACTCACCTAGAGGTGCCATTGCTACTAACCAGTCTGACAGCTGGCCATGTTGGCGAGCCAGCTTCAGGGCTCCCAGGATGTCACCTCTCCAGACGGCCAGCTGCAGGCTGTGGTCCAGATGACCGTTCTCTACATGGTTCAAACCTGAGGAAAAATCAACACAGAGTTAGCATCCTGCTTCCCCTTGCCACAGTGTCTTAATGGAACATACTGTGCCTGTGCAAAAACCGTGGTGTATTGTGCGTAGGGCTTGGGAAGGGAGGCTTGTCTAAGGTCGTCTTAGTGTATTTAAGGTTGCCATTTCCTCTATAGTTTTCAAATGTCGTATTGGAAAGATACAAAATTACGTATTGTCTGCAACCAGCAAAGTTCTAAATTTACAAAATATCCACCCTAAACAGTGGGAAAATATGGTTTTTGCACAGGCGCGGTGCATTCTGCCGATGTAATGGTCTCTAATTGTGAGATATGCTCAAAAGTCATACAATCCTGTACATGTATGACACTGTCATTCATTTGTACTGTCCATATCTTTCCTTCTGTAAAACCATACAGTATTTTACAATTTACTGTTACAGTAACAGTTCTATCTAGTACATGTATGAGCCTGATATCTAACGTTACAGGCATCTGACAGGGTATCAATCTACATCTACGGGGTCATGTGGCGCAACGGCAGCGTGCGCGACTCGAATCAAGAGGTCCCGGGTCCTGACATGCCACCGACCTTGTGCCCTTGGGAAAGGCACTTAACGCGACTTTCCCCACTAGACTGAAGTGAAAATGAGTATTGTCTGTCCACTTTTCATTTCTATGTGCGGGACACAACACCAGCAACAGCTGCCTCTGTTCCGCGTGTATTGCATTGTTGCAATTTCAATAAAATAAAGTTTAAAAAAAATCAATCTAAATGTATCTACCATCCAATTTCCTTGTTCGAAATCTTTTTACAGTGACAGTTTCTTTCCCCGTAAGGCCAAGCTTTGGAATTCCCTCTCTGACAAGTGTTTCTTATCTAAAGAATCTATATCTAGTATATTTCTAGTGATATCTTAACATACATGTACGTACCATATTATTAGAGAGAGAGCTTAACTTACTTTCCTCTCTGAAGGTTTTGTACAAACTTCTTCTGTCAAAGAACAGACCGAGGCCGTCACAACCTGCACTTCCAGCAGACATGTCTCCACCAGCTCTTTCTGAACAGAACAACAACATGGCTGAACATTCTTCTTCTGGGGAGATGTTTTTTTTAAATCTATTCACATATATCTATTGAGTATTGAGCAGGAAGCAAAGGTTGCTTATATAACACCTTCTACTCAAAAACATACAACGAGTATAAAACACATTGACGAGATACATGCATAATTAAAAGGTCTTGGTAGTCCTTCGTTGTCGAAGAGGACTGTCAGTGTGCTCATTCACGGGGGATGTGACCTCATATGACTTCACAGTCCCAATCTCGAGGCACAAAGCCGTCCACACTTCAGGCATTTGTGATCTTGAGTCAGAACTGCTGATGTCGCTGCGTTGTGCCGTCTGACTCTTGCAGCATTAAGACGCTGCCTCCTATCCTCCTCAAAGGCTACAGTAGCTCGAGAGATGAGCGCCCTCCAGGCTGTTCTGTCAGAAGCTGCCGACTCCAGTTGGGGCGGCTTGATGCCGCACCACTTGAGGTTGTTTTTTTAGTGTGTCCTTATATCTCAGCCTGGGCCTTCCTCTTTTTCTCAAGCCCAGCTTCAGCTCCCCATACAAAAGTTGTCTGGGGATACGGTTATCAGTCATTCTGATAACATGGCCAGTCCACCGGAGTTGGGACTTCAGCAGCATCACTTCAACACTTGTACATTGGGCCATATCTAAGACCTGCTGGTTGGTGACTTTGTCTTGCCAGGAAATGTTCATGATTCTGCATGCGTAGAGCCCTCATGTGAAACTGTTCGAGCTGTTTGATGTGTCTTCGGTACAAAGTCCAGCTTTCCCATCCGTACAGAAGTGAGGACAGTACTACTGCTTTGTAGATCTTGATTTTAGTGGTCAATTTGATGCCTCTTTGTTGCAGGACCTTTACCCTGAGTCTCCCCAGTGCCTGGCTGGCTTTTTGGATCCTGGTTGTGACTTCCTTATCCAGGGATCCAAAAAATTTTTGAGTTGAATCAATTTAAAGAAATGGCAGGAGGAGGAGAAGGAGAAGAAGAAACATGAGCAAATCAATATGACTTCACCACAAAATGAAGTCATAATAAAACAAACAAACAAACAAAGAGACTCACCATACATGAGCTGTGCCAGTGTGAGGCAGTCCTGCTGCAGGTGACACTTGGCACGGTTGTCCATGTTAGCTGACAGAGGAAACAGTGAGCGCCCCTTCTTCTTCTTACGGTGAACTCTCACATCTACATGGGAGATATCCAATGGCAGAGATAACAATGACATCAATCAGTACTGACCTAAGAACATTTTTCCTTATGATTCAAAATATGGTTGGTTAAAGATAAGTAAAGGCAAGGAAGCCTTTTTTGAGGCCATAGGGGCAGGGACTTGTTTTCCACTGTGTCCAGGGCACGGTATTGGAAGGCAGAGCCCATCCCTCTCCTTTCACTGCCTTTAACCTCCCAAAATGAAGTGAAGTCAGGTACAGAGTACCCATTTCTACACCTAAACTGTATGTAGCCAATATCAGTGACGTTTTTGCTAGGCTAAGATTCCCTCATCCCAGTTCATGACTGGGGTTGTCTTTCTTATCCACTGCAGAGAGCTTTAGGATTGTGTTCTCACCATTAACGGACCACCTACAGTGACATTGGCTAGATATAGTGTTGAGAAGAAGTACTCCAATCAGAAGCTCTAAGGAAGGTGTTATCATCATAATAAACATAATACCTATTACTTTTTGATATTATATTATAATCAAATTCCCACCTTTTCCTTCAGCTGCTGCTGACTCTGCCACAGGCAACACATTATCAGCAGTTCTCTGTGGTGGCAGTATGTCCTCCACAGTGAGTGACCGCTGGGTAGTCTGACCCTGCAGATGACCACCTCCCTCCTGCCCTTCAGCAGTGCTGGTCGGGTGACTCTCAGAGACTGTGTCCAACAAACAATGAAAGTACTGAAGTTTTTTTAAAGTTTATTACAAATTCTTGCCCAGATCCATCCAATATTGTGTTAAAGAAAATGTAGATAAAAGGCTACTAAGACATAGCTATGAGTATGAGTGCAAAATATTCCTAGACATTCAACAGCCACATTATACACTTTAAACGAAAATTGCTGTTATTGGGAATGCTTTCAGCACCAAGGACAAAGCAACCAAAGATTCCTGCTGGCCACCACATAATGCCTCCTAGTGTTTGAAAGTGGTACTGCAGTCTCAATACCCTTAGTCTTCCATCCATCCTTCCATTCATTTACCCACCCATCCATCTGTCCATCTACCCATCCATCCATCCATCCATCCATCCATCCATCCATCCATCCATCCATCCATCCATCCATCCATCCATCCATCCTTCCATCTACCCACCCATCCATCCATCCATCCATCCATCCATCCACCCACCCATGCATGCATGCATCCATCCATCCATCCATCCATGCATGCATCCATCCATCCATCCATCCATCCATCCATCCATCCATACCCATCCTTCCATCCATCTAATATTGTGTTGAAGAAAATGTAGATAAAATGCTACTAAGACATAGCTATGGGTATGAGTGCAAAACATTCCTCGACATTCAACAGCCACATTATACACTTTAAACGAAAATTGCTGTTATTCAGAATGCTTTCAGCACCAAGGACAAAGCAACCAAAGATTCCTGCTGGCCATCACATAATGCCTCCTAGTGTTTGGAAGTGGTACTGCAGTCTCAGTACCCTTAGTCTTCCATCCATCCTTCCACGTTCCATCCTTCCATCCGTCCATCCATCCATCCATACCCATCCTTACATCCAACCATTAATGTGAAGAAAATGTAGACAAAAGGCTACTAAGACATAGCTATATAAGTGGAAAACATTCCTAGACATTCAACAGCCACATTATACACTTGAAAGGAAAATTACTGTTATTGTCCATGCTTTCAGCACCAAGGACAAAGCAACCAAAGATTCCTGCTGGCCATCACATAATGCCTCCTAGTGTTTGAAAGTGGTACTGCAGTCTCAATACCCTTAGTCTTCCATCCACCCATCCATCTAACCATCTATCCATCCCAGTGGGAGTACTGATGCCCACCTTCTGTAGAGTGTTTCTGTCTCATCAGTTGTGCTCTCTTCTCTTCTAGAAGTTGTAACAGTTCGTCAGAGTTGATACTGTTGGTACTTCCTGTCCCCTCCTCATGCCTGGGTGTTTCATTACTGATGTCTGTACCCAGCTGTTCCTGTCCCCTGGTAGGACCTGGCTGTTTCAGGTCCCGTGGGGCTTGTTTCTGAGGCTCTGCTCCCCTGTTCTTTGCCTTTCCCTTAGACTTGGGCTTCCTTCCTGGTGGTTTGTGATCTAAATATGAAGGATAATTTGATGAAACACCTCTATCTGTTGGATCAATCAATTTCGTGGGACAAGTATTGGATTATGCTATACTTTAACATTAGCAGGTTAGTTTGCAATTTCAGGGTGGCAAAACGAGAATTTTCTGGTCATTCTTCTAAAGTAGTCTAGTAAGTTGAATCAGTCCTATCCCATAGCATACTGATATCTGTGAGGCAAAAATGTGATGTTGCTGATAAAAAAACAGTTGGTTGTTTTGTATCATGGTGTTTTGTATCATGGGCTGGTTCTACATTTTTATGGGTAGTCCCCCAAAGAGACGCCTTACGTAGCTTGTTTTGGGGCCATTTCTACTGCTTCAACTTAGAGATGAGCGAAATGTGCTACATTTTGTACGTATGGCAGTAAATGTCAATATCAGACAAATTTCCTCACCCATATCCAGACTTGTGTTGGAAATTACAGTTTAAACTTGCTTCATAATAATTTCTACCAACACAGATGAACTTTCAAGATATTCCATTGGTTGTTAGAATAGTGTCATAATGAAGTTAGTTTACTGACCAATGGGTGGCTCTTTATGTTCCTGCTGGGATATTTTCCATGACTGAAGAGAGAAGTCGTCCCCTCCACTGTACACCATGTCAGCATCAGTCTGACTCCACTGCACAGACAACACCCTTCCCTGGTGCCCACGGAAGTTGGACATGGCCTTTCCTTTGGTCATATCCCAAACCTTCAAAATCAAGAAAGGTCATATTAACACAATCTATGCCTTGATCGCAGTGCTTGGTGACAGCTGCTTCTGGTAGACATCAGAAATACCTGCACTAACCTGCATATACATGTAGTATACCCAGTACATGGACCAGTGCAGGTTAGGTGCAGGTAGACATCAGAAATACCTGCACAGCTCCAATTTTACCTGCACTAACCTGCATATACCCAGTACATGGACCAGTGCAGGTTAGGTGCAGGTAGACATCAGAAATACCTGCACAGCTCCAACTTTACCTGCACTAACCTGCATATACCCAGTACATGGACCAGTGCAGGTTAGGTGCAGGTAGACATCAGAAATACCTGACCTTGATCTTTGCCTACCCAACACCTATCCACATACCAAATATACCCAATATAATCCATCCAAAGGTTCAAAAGGTAAGTTGGCCGCTAAGGTCCGGAAATACAAACAGACACTCAGACAGACAGACACTCACACACACACACACACACACACACAAACACGCCCAAAACAATACCCCCATTTTTTATGGAGGTAACAAACAAAGAAACAAACAAGTCTTGTGTCCTGACCTGAGCAGTGTTATCATACGAGGCAGACACCAGCCAGCCTGGGTGATGAGGGCTCCAGCACAGATCCACCACCTTGGCTTTGTGGCCGTCAGCCTGACGGAACGGTTCAGAGAACACCACTGGGACATCTGGGGGAGTAGTAGCTCCTGCAATCACATAGAAAGTACTGTTTACTAGTATTTAGATAAGTTTGACTGTACATGTACATGAAATTCATAGTCGACACAATTTTCTCTATACATGCATGTACATGTAGTTAACAGGTTAGGGTTGTAACGAAACAAATAGTTTTCAGCATTTGCTCCAGATGCAATTTGGTACTGCACCTTTGATATGGGACAATAAACATTTATCCAAGCCTTTTCTTGCTGGCAAAATACATGTAACATAACACACACAAGGAAGAGTTTGTCCTTTCTCTTTCCTCTTTTTTCTTCTTTTGTCTCTTTTTTCTTTTCTGTTCCTCTCCACTGATACTCTTTGAAATATCTTAAACAAAAATCTCCCTGTACATGTACATCTATACCACACCGCACCACAAAAGCAATACCTCAATTTTCATGGATATTTTATATTTTTTATCATATTGAAAAGAACAAAGATGCATATGTGTGTAAATTATAACTAATCTAATTGGTTGGATGCAGATGTACATACATGTACATGCCTTTGTGTGTAAATAAAAGTGACTGTCCAATCACAGCCTGCAGGTTGTGAATGTGCACATCTGATTGGTTGGATGCAGATGGACATACATGTACATGACTTGCATGTAAATACAAGTGACTGACCAATCACAGCCTGGAGGTTGTGAATGTGCACATCTGATTGGTTGGAAGCAGATGCCAGCCAGTAGCCATATTGAGCTGGGATGTCATTGGACGTGGGATGCCAGCAGAGCTTGTTGATTGGCCGATGGTGAGTCCGAAGGATGCAGATGCGGCGAAGGTTTGGACTGGTCATAATCTCAACTGACCTGTAAAGAAGTGTTTTGAAGACTTCCATGACACTCAGTATCAGCTGTGTACCTACATTTATGTCATTTATGTCATGATTCACTGCAATTCACTTAAATTATAATTTTACAGTAGTAAGTTGCAGTTGAGAAAAATGGTGGTGTTCACAGAACTATATTCATAATGGCAGCAGGTGTAGAAAAAAGAAAGTCAGTGGGTTATCTGTCAACAGAAGTGACTGCAAAAAATGCAAACATGTTACCACAAAAATATAAGGAATTACAGTATTCTTTTTAATCGAAGGCATCCAATGCAATTTCAGGGCAGCCAATTCAAAACAAAAAAAAATTGGATGAGGAAAACTGTCTGATATTGACATTTACATTTATTTGCACATCTTTGTCATGAAATATGAAACAAGTTATGTGAGCCCTCTCTTTAAAAATTTTGGAAGGGGCACTGCCCACAGATGTCAGTAATCTATGGAATAGGGTTGGTACAACTTACTTAAAAGAATTACCAGCAAATTGACTTTGAAAATCTAGTTTTGCCGCCTTGAAATGGCATGCAATGGATGTCTTTAAGTTAGTCTCCCAACTCGAAGTTATTCTCACATTTAAACTGTCTCTGAAGAGAATTGGAACAGCTGACATACCCATCCTCATAACCAACGGCCACATACTGTCCATCCTCTCTCCAGCTGATCTCTGTTGCAGGAGGTAGTTTGTGCTGTGGCAAAGTGGGGATTTACATTTTGTAAGATATTAAATGGGAGATACATTGTACACGTAGGCTGGCTATAGGAAAAATACTTTTCCAGGAGAGTTTGAATTCACCTGCACAATTTTTTTACCTTAAGTTACCACATTTCACTTCCCTGGCATATCATTGACATGCTAGAATCAAATGATAATTATAAAAAAGGCAAGTTGAAACACAATGAACTTGGAATGACATTTCCAAATGAAATGTATAATGTTAACCTTCACATGGTCTAGCCTAACAAACTACTGCTCTGTTTATTCTTACTCAAACAGATTCATATACACCAGTCCAACTTGATTCTGCCTCTTGCTAGATAATGTAACCCAACACCACAGGGCGTCTGCTGAAGCACCAGTTACCACGGTGAGAGCCATCTGGTTCAGGTCATTGACCTTGAGTGTTTGGAAGGAAGAATAAACAGAGCAAAAACTAGAGAAGTAACATTTGCAAAGCAAATGCATAATGTTTACCTTTGGAAATGGTCTGCTCTGTTAATTCTTACTCAAACACATTCACATACTACTATATGGTGACAGGAGCAGAGCAGACCATGAAATTGCAACATTATGTAACCCAACACCAGTCACCATGGCAGCTGACGTCAACAAATCATGTCATTGGTCAGGTCATAGGTCACTGTTTGGAGAAGAAGAAGAGGAAGAAACTGAGCAAAAACAATATGTTTTCCTTCGGTAAACATAATAATATTTTTTCTGTGAACTTTCAAGGTAAACATGAAAGCTACAGGTGGAACGATACTTAGCAATAGATGTGCTGACTATGTTGCTGATATAGATACTGACTTTGATTTGATTGGTAGACCTGATGATATCCCAGACATTGAGGGCAGGTTGTTGATTCCTGTTGAAAGTGTGTTGGTAGATCACACCCTCTCCTCCACAACTGTACAGCACCAGGGTCGGACTGCCTCCTGAAGTCGACATGTTTGTCATCTCATCTTACTAGTTTTCATCTTATTTGTACGAATATTGTTACAAGAATAATTGTGAACTGTAAAGATTCACAAACTAGTAAATGTAGCTGTTTGGACTCTAGTATATTGCTACAAAATTATGTTATTTTCAATACCCAGGCTCAATATCTTTGGCCTACAAAATTGTAAGACTAGTTGACTTCGTTATACTTCCATCTGTAGTCTTTAAGTTTCTGCAAATTGCAGGTGAATATTTCAAGTACTAGTACACTGTATCTGTGAGTGAGTGTGACACTGTATATCTGTACAAGTAGACATGGTGATGTACAATGTACTGTTGAAGGCATCCAATCCAATTCCTGGGCACCAATACAAAATATTCTGGATGAGAAAATCTGTCTGATCTTTGACATTTGCTGCCATTTTCTCCATTATTTCATGCTTCAAGCATTTGAGATATCCTCCCAAAAATAAAGTGAATTTAATGTAGTACATAAAGTCACTTTTGGTACCAGTATTGAATAGCTAGAACCAGCCCACGATACAAAACATGCAACTGATTCCATCAGTAACATCACACTTTTGCCTCTCAGTTTTCATTAGGATTGATTCAACATTCAGCACTGAAAAAAATGATCAGCATATTGACTTTGAAAATCTAGTTTTCTTTCCTGAATTGGTTTGGGTGCCTTTGATGATGACACTATACCTGACACTGCAACAGTTGGCCCCCAGGACAGCGAATAGACTGTTTTCTTGTGACACGTACTTGACATGGTTGGTTGTCTGCAATGAGACACAAGAAGATAGTCATCATCTTTACTAAGTATCTTTACTAAGTCTAAGTATCAATGAAGTAAAGACCTTTCAGCACAACCATGTCAATTTCGTTATACATGTAAAATGTTATGTTAAACATGTTAAACATGACTACATGCATGATTGAATTCATTCTTTATGTGTATAGAACGGAACTGTTGCAATAAATTTCCAAAGGAATACTGGTACTCCAAAGCACTCACGTACACTCATGTACATGTAAGTTGACCTTTTGATACATGTACATACAGGCTTTAAAAAGTGCTCATCCAATGTGAGGTGAAAATTGTTCGGGGGGGTTTAAGAAAGGCACTTAATTAATGTATGGGAATACTTGATTCTAGTTGTTACTCAGGTGATACTGCTATCACTACATGTACAAAATGTAAGTTCCTGAGTACAGAATACTTACTTGGTGTGCAGCACATCATACAGGCCCACTGAACCATCATCACTGCCAAACCCCAGGATACCCTCCTTTGTGGGATGCCAGGACAACTACGGGAACAGGTACAGGAGATGTCAACATCAGGAATATGCACAGCACAGGGACATTTTTATTTCATTTGTGTTTGGTGTAAGGCCATACCGACTTAATTTTATGGATGACATCCACGCACGCATTGATTTACGCCTGTTCTCAAAAAAAAAAAGATCACGTCCTCCGAGGCTCTGACCTGGGTAGTCCATAGTATTTAGTGACAATACAGAGCCGGTGGTAACCCTGGAGGACGGCGCCCAGGCTACCGAAGCTCCACCACTCAAGAACTCAGTACATACGCACGGTGCTGATTCATAAATGCTGCAAAAAGCCAGCATGTGCCGGTTTGTCGTATACGTCACTATGTACATGTACTGCCGCAAGTTCACAACATCAGCTTTGTATAATGTGGTTTAGTAGCATTTTTATTTTTAGCCAGAATTTTTTTTATTTGCCTGAACGCACTAGTTTGAGGGATCAGAGGATGCCATCCATAAAATTAAATCCGATTCGGTGTGGCCCAAGTAAAAAAGGGAAAGGTAGTCAGATAGCCTCTTTTGAGAAATTCTAATGACAGAAGAATAAGTATCTGAACTTTAACCTTTCATATGCATTAGAACCAACTTGCGGCATTTTCCCTAAAGCCCCTGTCAACACATTAGCTGAAAATGGCCTCCTGAACACTGCTGAACTCCCCCAATCATGGTTAGGAGTTGGGCAAGGTCGGCTAATGTTCAGCTGCACCAGCCAAATGTTTCAAATATTTAAAACATTCAGGTGTGGACAGGAGGTTCTGCCATGGTTAGCAGTAGTCAGGCATGGTTGGTAGGCACATTTGATTCGTATAATAATTGAAAGGTAGATGTGGCCTACATCTGTTCAGAATGCTCACTAACTTCAGCCAACCTTGGTCAGCTGTTGTTTGGGGGAAGGTTCTAGATTTGTGATAGGGGCTTAACTGTTGTAAGTTAATATTTTTGATGCGTCTAGACAAACCCTGTATCACAAACATGATCTGTTCCCACATTTTCCATTGTACAAAAAAGTATCCTTGTATGTTCCTTATGTATGAATGTCTAAGTCAAGTAGTGTATCTTTTGTCTCCACTTTTCTACATACGTTTGTTATGTGTCTGTTAAGTCTTGACCTGTACCTATCCCGTCGTGGAATGAATGTACAATAAAGGTACAATGTATTTCATTTCATTTCAATAATTTGTATTCTGGCAGCATATGCAAATCCAGTGATGATATTTATACTTACTGCAGTCACTTTCCCCTTAATGCACTGCCAGAATCCTGACCAGTCAAAAGGAGCCTGACTGTGTGTGTTCCACACCCGGATCATGCCGTCCCCCACTCCTACAGCCAGCTGTCCTGGTGTCAGCGGGGAGGAGGCCAGGGCATACACAAACCCACCTAACGTGGGCAGGCTCCACTGGGCTTTCATACTGCTCAAGTCCCACAGTATGATCTGCAACACAGACACAATGACAATGAAGTTTATTGCATATTCATACCCCAGTGGGGCTAAATGTACTCTAAAAAGGACTGAGTGTGCTATGTTCTATCTAGTATTTAAAAAAATCTTGTTTTAGCCTGTCTCTACCATAAAAGTGACATCTATAAGCTTGTGTGATTCGTGTAGTATAACTATACTGACCCACCCTCCATAACTTAACCACAGGTGTTTTTCAGTACATTGTACATGGGTTGAATGTAGATCAGTCTGACATTGTTTGCTGCTGTGTGTTGATACACACACAGGGAGTCCGTGCATGACGCCTGCTGTGTTGTGTTACCCTTGGGACTCTCACTGATGCTAGCGGTTAACTCAACCATGACTCAACTTAGAAACATCAGAAATGATATCCATCTAAGGCCACACCAATTTAATTTGTTGGTTCTCGTATTCGCCTCAGATTTTTTTCTGATTTGCAAAAAAAATGGATCTGAATCAACTAAAAAATGCTTATTATTTGCCCCCAACAGTTGAGGAAGTTCTTTTCTTCCAGATGGTACAGTTTTTCCATCTATCAATGCAGTGGTTTGATTAAAAGTTCAAAATTCATTCAATTTGTTTAAATTCTAACCCAGCCTTTTGTGTTGACTTCATGGCACCTATCGAAGCATTTGGGGCTATAATAGGATGCCTAGACCTGTTTTTATTTTTATTTGCCCTCAGTCCCTTCATATTTTTTCTGTAAAAATCTGAGAACCAACAAGTTAAATTGGTGTGGCCTAAGGGACACATTTCCACATTTCTTTATTTTGTTCATTTTGCTGTGAACAGTGAATAAAAGGATCCGACACTGTGTTGTTTGTCTTGTTACCTGTGCCCAACAAAAGCACCTGTGACCTTCTGACCTTGTAACCAAAATGGCGGATGGAGCGGTAACATAACTGCTTGTCTGACCTTTACCTTTTATATAGAATGCAGGAAAACTGCATCAGAATGGACTAAATCTGGCCCAGCAGACTTAGGACATCACCAGGATACACTGGTGTGTTTCACAACAGCAGAACTACAGCAGAAAAACTCATGGAGAAGAAAGAACAGGTTGGTGAAACTCTCCTTCTTCTTCTCAAGTTTACAAACTTAAAGTGAAATAACATAGCCACTAGAATGGCTGCTCCAAGTAGTAGAAATGCACCATGAACCAATAGTAGTAGATTAAGCCTGCAAGGATGATGATGACTTCAATTTTCCAACAAAAACCCTTTAAAAACCCTTCCTCAGATTACAATACCATGTGTGTTGTAATTTGTTGGATGTTGGGAATGAACACAGTCAATCGTCTGTGTGCCAAGAGGAGAGAGGCGATCGACTCCACAACCAGATCCGCAACATGGAGAGGTCAGAACTCAACATGTACTCGTTTGTTTCTGCCGTTGTTTATTTTGGATGAAGCTGTAATTGGCTGCTTTTTGTGTAGTTCTTGTCTCAGCGGATTTGATTCTAAATAAGACTAATCAAAAGTAGTCAGAGCATGAAAGTAGTTTTATAATGTCTGGATGTTTCTGTTCTACAGGAGCTGAGAGAAGCAGCCGAACGAGGTGAGGAGGACAGAGTTAAAAAGCTCCTGGCCGAGGGAGTCAATGTCAATGCTGGCCGTGGTGTAAGTTATTATATATAACAAGTCATTATATAGCAAATTCATGACAGGATTTTTAAGTGCTTAGTTTAATTGGAAATTTCCCTTTCAATAATAGTATTAAAGTGGGCAGTGTTACATATTTATGTGCATCTGACAACCTTATTCATGTCATCTGAGTGTATTCTTACACTATACGGGAAGTTTCTGTAAGTTTGGAAAGGTCACAGTTGGTACAAGTACATTGTACATGTCTGAACCTTAGTCTTACATGGAGCTCCTCTACTCTTGTCTCTACAGACAGAGACTGCTCTCCACTCTGCATCCTTGAATGGCCACACAGGAACTGTGCAGGCTTTACTCACAGCTGGAGCGGAAATCGACGCACGAACCTACGCGGTAACTTTGCTGTTTACTTCAGAGTCTGTCTAAATGTGCCTGTCCTTAGTTTGTATCATTGATAGTAAATAATAAAGCCACTGATGTCATGACTGTCAGGTACTGTGCTATCTATACTCATAGGAACCGTTTGTTACCTTCGCCAAGAAGGTTATGTTTTCAGTAGCGTTTGTCTGTTTGTCTGTCTGTTTGTCTGTGAACAGCATAACTCAAGAAGCTTACTATGCATTGTCATGAAACTTGGTAGGTAGGTAGGTCTTGATGAGACCTAGAAATGATTAGATTTTGGGCCCCCTGGCGGCTTTTGTTGGTACTGCAGCAGAACTTCCGGTTTTGATATCTCGCGATTTGGACATGTTAGGGTCATGAATTTTGGTTGGTAAATAGCTCTTGAGGTAGGGAAGATGTGACCTGAGTTTGGGCCCCCTAGTGGCTTGTTCTGGAACTGCAGGAGCATTTGTTGAAAAATTTTCGAAGGATGATAACTCAAGAACCGGTTGACGGATTGTCGTGATTGTTGGTATGTAGGTACCTGAAGGGATGCTTGACATAATCAGATGGCAATTATGCAAATCAGGAGCTGATTTGCATAATTAATGAGGAAATTCTATAAATCTGCTTTGTTCGATAATAGGACTATGAAACACTTGTGACATGTAATTGAGAATAAAAAAAATTTGAGGATATACATTATGTAAATGAAGACCTAATTTGCATAATTAATGGGAAATTTTTATAATTTCATAGATGTAACTGCTGGGAATTTCATACTTGCCACATTTGGAAGTTAAGTGAAGGCGAACATCAATAAACATAATTTATTCAAATCATGACCTCATTTGCATAATTTATGAGGAAGTGCTATAATAGCCTTTTTGTTAAGATAAGACTGTCATTGGGTGGAGAATATGATCAACTGATATAACCCATGCAAATGAGGATCTTATTTGCAAAATCAATTATCAAAATTGTATAATGCTTTAACCGCAAGGGTTAACATCATTTGGCGAAGGTATGAGATCGTGGAACTCTTGTTTCTTTTTATTACTCCGTGAAGGAGGTCAGGACCTCCGAAACGGAGTGTTGTGAACGGCTGGTTTTTCGTGTTCGCAGTCAAAACACTGGGTTCTCGTTGTGTAATCGGCACGCAATTTTATACACCGTCTGCGGGCATGCCCGTGATTTTAGAAACATCCCTACTTTTACAATCCTGTGGAATAGGCCGTAGGTTTAGGCAGTTGTCTGGTAGCAGAGGTTCTCCAAGCAGATATCCCGGGTATCTGACCGGCGGAAGTAACACTCGCGGTGCTAGCCGCGACTGTTGCTGGAATTTGGCATGTTCCAGTCGCGCTTAATAAGTAACAGGCACGGTAAGACGGTGTCTTTGTTAATAGTGACACGACCATGATAGTCCGATTTTTATGTGAATGCAATCATGATTGTGTGTGTTTAATCAAAATGAACTTCAAACTTGAAGCACAGTATCTTTACACGCCCTGGGAGCAGTAATGGATTCAGGTTTTTTATGTTTTATGCTTGTGACGCGCCCTCATTGTATTAACCGTTGCCTAATTATAATGTCTGCACAGTAGGTCTGGCGTTGACCCTTGGGATTGTTTTTGCTGAAATATATAAATCTTCACGGAGGCTGTCGCCTATGGCTTCTTGTTTTACTTTGTTCATAGTATACTGTACAGGCTTTATATGAACAATTGTCAAACACTTAGTCACCTATTACTAAATTATGCTAACTAAATATTAATGGCAACATTCTTTATGAAGTTGCGCAATTGACTTTATGAAACTTAGTTTTCCTTTCATCATTTAAGTACAGATGTTTACAGATGACCTTGGTCTTTACATCAGATCACCTCTTTAAACTATCGTTTGCACAAATCGATATCTACTAATTACCCATAGTTTTTAGAGAATAACTAGATTTTTAGTTAGTCTACTACATGTATGTTATTCTCTAACAAATATGGGTAATTAGTAGATATTGATTTGTGCATACGATGTACATTTGTACATGTAGCTTTGACCATTATGCACATGAAAATCATACTTTTATTGCAGTTATTTGTACCAAAGTGCTGTATTATAACTTAAAAAATTATTATACTTGGGGCAATGAAATATGATGACGTCATCCATATGGTCCATAAAATCATATTCATAACCCTTTTGTGCCCAGGTATCAATGTTCAGTACAACTACAGTAACAGTTCTTTCTAAATTTCTTTGTGGCAAAATGATGGAAAGTTACATTATGCCAAATTAGCCAGTGAGGAAACCTTACGTACATCTGACATCCTTCTTCATGTCATCCATGTTCTTTTGAAATACACTATACTAGCCTGGGTACCATCCAGATTTTGCTCTCCTACGCCAGTGATTTTTCTAGCGTAGCGGAGCAAAATCAGGATGGTAACCAGGCTATTTTCACTTATATGGTTAGTTCCTGGAAGGTTGCGAAGGTACATTTAGTACATTGTCTGAACCCTAGTCTTCTTATTACATACAGCTCCTCTATTCTTGTCTCTGTACAGGAATGGACTGCTCTCCACGAAGCATCCTATCGCGGCCACACAGGAACTGTACAGGCTTTACTCACAGCTGGAGCAACAGTCAATGCACAAACCAACTCGGTAACTTTGCTGTTTACATCAGAGTCTGTCTAACTGTGCCTGTCCTGAGTTTGTATCATAGTAAACTAGAGTTCCCCGATCTCATACCTTCGCCAAATGATGTTAATCTTTATGGCTGACAAATTATAGATTACTCCCCCTGATTGTGCAAATAGGATCCTCATTTTCATATTCTCAACCACACGACAGTCTTACATGTATATGAACAATGCCATTCTAGCATTTCCTCATAAATCATGCAAATTAGGTCCTAATTTGAATACATTATGTGTAATGATGCTCACCTTCACTGAACTTTCAAATACCATAAGTATGAAATTTCAGGCAGTTATCATTACAGAATTATAACATTTTTTCATTAATTATGCAAATTGAGTCTTCATTTACATAATCAATATCTGCCTGTGTTTATCTCATTCTCAATTACCAATCACAAGCTTCAAAAGTCCGATGATGGAATGCAGCTGATTTATAGAATTTCTCCATGAACAATGCGAATTACATCAGATTCTATATTTGCATAATTGTCACATAATTATATCGAGCATCACGTAAGCTACCTGCATACCAAAAATCATCACGATCCGTCAACCAGTTCTGAGTTATCCTCTTTTTAATAATTTAAACCAGATAACCCTGCAGTTCCTGAGCAAGCCGCTAGGGGGCCCAAACTCACGTCACTTCTTCCCCAGCACAAGAGCTACCCACCATCCAAATTTCGTCACCCTAGCATGTCTAGATCATGAGATATCAAAACCGGAAGTTCAGGGGGCACACCCCAGTTTATTTGGCGTCTCTATTCGAAGCTTCACACCCTCAAATCTACGTAGTGACCATCTCTGGCGTGGAATAATTCGGAAGGAGAATAACTGTATATGGGACGAAAGGATATCTCTTCAGCTACAAGACCAGCTGAGTTTGGTTTCTTCAACCTTTTTAAGTTTGGTAAAATCAACCGAAAAAACATTATTTTCACTCCAAAATTAATGCCCAAAATTGCGAATTTTCGCGTAGGATAATCCCATAGAAAAAAATTTTCCGGCAGAAATGACTGATGCTGGCAGAAAGACCCAAGCCTTGACTATACCCGAGTAAATTATAAAGAAAATTCTAGTACTGTAATTTTCTAAACAGTCCACGGCGCGAGGGGTTGCAAATCCACCCCTACAAAGCCGCAGAGCGAAATCTAGGTCAAACGGGCGGATTACACTTGGCGCGCAAGGATACCCGGAAGTAAGGTTCGGAGCCAAAAGAAATTTTCACCCCAAAATCACCATTTCTGACACTCTTCAGCCACGTTAATGTTTAGTGATACTTCGTGGCAGTTTATGAGAAATGTCACCTCAAACTTGGACCCTCAAAACCCTTTCGTCACTTTTTTACAACGGACTATCACGGACCCCGGTCGCGCAAGAACTGGGGTGTGCACCGTTAAGCTGCAGTACCATAACAAGCCGCTAGGGGGTCCAAAATCTAATCATTTTGAGGTGTCATCAAGACCTACCCACCTACCAAGTATCAAGACAATCTATTTAAGCCTTCTAAAGTTATCGTGTTCCGTGAAGGAAGGAAGGAAGGACGGACACACACATACACGAACGCCTCTGAAAACATAACCTTCTTGGCGAAGGTAATAATAAAGCCACTGATGTTGTGACCAACCAGGTACTTTGCTATACTCATAGGAACCGTTTGTTTGTTTGTTTTTATTTTACTTTGTTCGTATTATACAGTCAGGCTTTATACAGTGGCGTCCTGTGGTGTAGTGGTTAGAGCAATCAACTATGAACCGGGAGACCCGGGTTCGATTCCGAGTCGTACCTGGGACATGTCTGAACATGCGCCCCGACGTTGTGCCCTTGGGAAAGGCACTTTACACGACTTTCCTCACTTCACCCAGGTGTGAATGGGTACCTAACTTTGGTTGGGGAAAGTCGTATTGAGGTCACCTTGTGGCGTCGAACGGCAGCAGTACAGACCCTTGCGACAGTTCCACAAAAAATAATTGTGGAACAAATATGTGTATCACGTGTGGGTAGTGGGGGTGCTCCTCTCGCGCTGACCACCCAACCCTTGACTGAGTGGCGTCTCTCAACATCTGACTGCCCGAACTGTTCTGAGTCTTCGGATGCTTTCAGTTCAGGTCATGTATAGCGCGCACCCCTGCCGCATCGTCAAGATGTGTTCTTGAGGTTAGGGGCTAGCAACCCCTCACCCTGCAATCGTTCTTGCTACAAAGTGTAATGCTAAGCCTCGATCGGACGGATCTAACCGGAAACGACCTAGGAACGCCCAACGACTACGAGAACTGGACATGAGTATATTGGAGGTGAACATCAGAGGCCTTCGCTCAAACTTGGGTGAATTGGTCAACATGTGCCACGAACTTAAGCCAACAATTGTCGTTGTCATTGAAACATTCCTGGACTCCACTGTGAAGGATGGAGATGACTGTATTACCATCCCTGGATACTCTCTCTGCTGTCGCAGAGACAGATCCACCTCATCTGGGGGAGGAATCGCTGTCTATTGCCTAGAAGGGATTGCCATCTTCCATGATAAAGACCAAGATCCCCTAGATTTGGAACTGATGTGGTTCACAGTAGCCCTTAAATCCTATAAGTTGCTAGTAGCTGCAGTCTACAGACCACCAAGCAGCAACAGTGATATCATTGACTACCTAGACAACAGCATCCTATCCAAATTGACTGCCTTTAGCGCCCAATCTGTTGTTCTGCTAGGAGACTTCAATGTATATCACCAAGACTGGCTAGGCAGCCGTACAACAGATGCAGCCGGCCGACTCTTGCTGGAGTTGTCCAACTCTTTCGGCCTAAAACAGATTGTCACAGAACCAACAAGAGAGAGCCAGATCCTTGATCTTGTACTGACCGACCTCCCTTCCTCCACTAAAACTTTTGCAAGACTTGGTACCTCTGACCACAACCCGGTCCTACTTAAGATAGATGTTCCCATCTATAGGGACAAGCCCTACAGGCGTAAAGTTTGGCAGTATGATAAGGCAGACTACTGGGGCCTGAGGGGATATCTCTCTTCTGCAGAATGGCGAGATGCCTTCCAGGGAGATGACCCGGAGAAGGCTTGCAGCAGAATTACGACCATCATTAGTGATGCAATGGAAATCTTCATCCCTAACAAACTGGTCACCAATAAGACTGGTGACAAAGCATGGTTTGACGACCGTTGCAGGACAGCTGCAAAGAAGAAACGACGACTGTTCAGGAAACTTAAGAGTAACAACACGCCTGAAAACAGAGACAAGTTCACAAAAGCCAGAAAGGAGTACAACCGGGCTGAGAAACAAGCAAAGAGAAGATACAACAAGAAACTAAAGGACAAATTGACTGACGGTAGCCTAACAAGCAAGAAATGGTGGAACACTGTGAACACTCTCTCTGGCAGGAAAGCCAGAGCCAACATCCCAGTGTTGAAAGCTGAAGGACATACATGTACTACAGCAAAAGAGAAGGCTGAAATATTAGCCCAAACCTTTGCCAGGAAGTGCCAACTGGAGAATGCAGAAGAGTCGGCCCCAGAAGTCCAAGTGACAACACCACACACTCTGAAGAATATTACCTTCAAACCCAAGGAGATCAGAAAGATCCTTCGGGAGTTACAACCAGACAAAGCCAATGGACCAGATGCAATTCTCAATAGAGTACTGAAGGAGTGTTGTGCTGAGCTTGCAAGTCCACTAAGCCGACTATTTCAGCTCTGTTTTGCACACGGGATGTTTCCAAGTCAATGGAAGTGTGCCTCAGTTATTCCAATCCACAAGAGGGACTCCAAGTCTGACCCTTCCATGTACCGCCCCATCTCCCTGCTCAGTAACATCAGCAAAGTGATGGAGGCAGTGGTACAGAGGCAGCTTCAGAAGTACCTACTGCAAAACCATCTAATATCAGACAGACAATTCGGATTTAGACCTCATCATAGCACTGCTGATATCCTCACTATTCTCTCCCAGCAATGGTCCAGTGCTCTGGACAAAGGCTGGGAAGTACGTGTTATAGCCCTAGACATCAAGGGTGCATTCGACAAGGTTTGGCATAACGGACTCTGCTCCAAACTGAAAAGCAAGGGGGTCTCTGGGATGCTACTTACCTGGATTTCAAGTTACCTCTTGAACCGTTCCATCAAAGTTGCTCTGTCTGGTCAATCCTCAACCACCACACTGATCAATGCTTCTGTTCCTCAGGGCTCTATTCTGGGACCCCTGCTGTTTTCGGTGTACATAGATGATTTGGAAGATGAGTGTGAAAACCCTCTCTATCTGTATGCTGATGACTCTAACCTGTTCTGTGTAATCAAGACAGGTGATGACAGCAGAGCGGCAACAGAAAGCCTGAATAGGGACCTGCAGAACATGAGTAACTGGGCTGTCAAATGGAAAGTAACCTTTGAGCCAGCTAAGTGTAAAGCAATGACCATCTCCAGAAAAAGAAATCCAACAAGATCAGACCTTTTCTTTGGAAACACTAGACTGGCAGAAAAGGATGAACTGGAAATCCTTGGTGTCACTGTTGACAAAAAGCTCACCTGGGCCAAGCACATCTCCAACATTGGTGCAAGAGCTGGACAAAAGCTCGGAGCTATGCGGCGAGTTGCCCAAAAGCTCGACACCAAAGGGAGAGCCACAGTGTACAAGGCCCAGGTACGAAGCGTAATGGAATATGCGTCATTATGTTGGATGGGGGCTTCTGTCACTTCGCTAAAAATCCTTGATTCCATCCAGAAAAAAGCATTACGTATCATTGGTGTAAACGAACATGATGCCACAACTGAACTGAACATCCCAACACTACTTCACAGACGTCAGGTGGCTGCTGTCTCGCTAATCTACAAAATGCACCTGTCAACATGCCCACTAGACCTGAAAAAGATGCTTCCTAAACCTTACACAATCAGACGCACAACCCGCAGCAGCCTCTCCACTGGTAAACATGCCCTCACTGTGCCGGTCTCTAGAACTCACGCCACCGGCAGAACCTTCATACATACTGCAGTTGACATCTGGAACAGTCTTCCAGACAACGTGGTGGGCCGGATCACTGACAACAACCTACAGTCATTCAAAACAAGAGTGCACCGGCATCTTCTTTCCACCGCCAGGACTTCTGCATGAACTTAGAACTTTGCAACCTTGCTGTAAACCAATGATTAGCCAGGACTGCTACAATCCAGGCTATTGTTTACATTATATTAGCACATGATAGAAAAAAAAAAAAACTTGATTGTTGTAATTGTTGTGATTTGTATTGATTATTATGTGATACCCTGAATCAATTCAGCCGTATAAAGGCTGCGACTGCATGGGTACTGTTTGGACAATAAAAACCATTTATTATTATTATTATTATTATAATTATTATATGAAGGATTGTCAAACACATGGTCACCTCTAGAAGACAATCACGTTCATGTAAATGTTCTTCTCAACTAGGGAAAAGTTGCACAAGTCAGTTTATGAAAGTTACTTTTCTTTCCATCATTAAAATACAGATGTTTAAAGATGACCAGTCCTTGAACTTTACACCAGATTAACTCTTTAAGCTAGTGTTAACACATTTATAATTAAGTACATCTGACATCCTTCTTCATGTCATCCATGGTCTTAAAACACTATACTAGCCTGGGTACCATCCAAATTTTGCTCCGCTATGCTAGGGATTTTTTCTAGCATAGTGGAGCAAAATCTGTATCATGGTACCCTGAGGATAACACTTATACGGGAAGTTCCTGGAAGGTTGCAAAGGTCACAGTTTGTACATTGTCTGAAACCTAGTCTTACATGCCACATATTGGAGCCCCTCTACTCTTGTTTCTGTACAGAGATCGATTGCTCTCCACAAAGCATCCAGTCGCGGCCACACAGGAACTGTACAGGCTTTACTCACAGCTGGAGCAACAGTCGATACACGAAACTATATGGTAACTTGACTGTTTACTTCTGAATCAGTCTGTTTCACTGTGCCTGTCCTGAGTTTGTATAATTAAACCACAAGGCGTAGAAAGTGATAACACATCAGTATCGGATACTGTACTACAGTCAAGGGAACCGTACCGGCTTCATTTACAGCTGAAGATTACATTCATTTTTGATACAAGTAACATGTCTGTATTGGTTGGAGCCTTACTTGTGTTGGCCCAACTTTAGGGTTAAACATTTGAGCCATGTCAGGACTTGTATGGGGGACTAAAGGGGCCTGTGTAGTCATTTGGTCAGACTGTTATGTTCAGTGTGTAGAGCCTTTAAAATTTGACCATCTCACACTTTGCTGTACTACAGAATGAGACTCCCCTTCATGAGGCAGCAGAGGGAGGACACCCCGAGTGTGTCAGAGTACTGCTGAGGGCTGGAGCCAACACTGTTATTAGGAACAGGGTAAGTATCCTTTTTGGACTTTGTCACATGTCAAATGTCAATTGCTGGCACTGAGAAAGGAGACATCACTATAATCGAGTATCTAACTCACTGATTTCATACTGAAATAGAGTTCCACGATCTCATACCTTCGCCAAATGAGGTTAGTCTTTATGGCTAAGAAATTATAGATTAACCCCCCTGATTGTGCAAATAGGATCCTATATTGCATCAATTATATCTGTTGATCATATTCTACACCAGAAGACAGTCTTATCTTATCAAAGAATGCCATTATAGTATTTCCTCATAAATTATGCAAATGAGGTCCTTATTTGAATAAGTTATGTTAAATTATGTTCACCTTTACATAGCTTTCAAATATCCCAAGTATGAAATTCCAGGCAGTTACCACTATGTAATTATAACATTTTCTCATTAATTATGCAAATTAAGTCCTCATTTGCATAATTGATACCTGCCTATATTTCTGCCGTTCTTAATTACGTATGACACAAGCTTGAATAGTCCTATCATGGAATGCAGCTGATTTATAGAATTTCCTCATTAATTATGCAAATTACATTAATATTTGCATAATTGTAATATCATTATGTCAAGCATCACTTCAGCTACCTACATGCCAAAAATCATGACGATCCATCAATCGGTTCTTGAGTTATCCGCCTTTAAACATTTTTTCAACTAACGCCCCTGCAGTTCCAGAGCAAACAGCTAGGGGGCTCAAACTCGTGTCACTTTATTCCCAGCCCAAGAGCTATCTACCATCTAAATTTCATGACCCTATAGCATGTCATGAGATATCAAAACCGTCAGTACCATAAGAAGCCGTTAGGGGGCCCAAAATCTAATCAGTTCCAGGCCTCATCAAGACCTACCCACCTACCAAATATCAAGACAATCCATCTAAGCCTTCTCGAGTTATGCTGTTGACACACACACACAGACACAGACAAACAGACACACGCCCAGCAAAACATAACCTTCGTCAATTCTTGGCGAAGGTAATGATGTTGTTAGATCTATGTTGTATTTTAGACCTAGACTTAAACAATCATTCTGAGATAAACCAAGAGAGATTGAATATCATATCTTATTACAAACTCCTTTTTGTGCAACTAAAGCATAAAAAAAGACAAGCATCAATATGTTATGATAATGTTTAGCGTTGATGTCTTCATGGATGTGTTGACTTTACACACAGGATAATAAGACAGCAGAAGACCTTGCAGTACAAGAGGATGTGCAGCAGGAGTTCCAGTTCTTTAAAGTAAGCCCAAAATACATCCATTACTGGTAGTAAAACATGTGGCTTGTACATACTGCATTACTGGTACATGTCAAACACTTGTTACACATTTTGTTCTAATTTGACTAAAGCATGCTATAGAATTCTAAACTTTGAAATCCTGTTGTTTCCTGCAGGGTAAGACATCAGGGCAGACGAAGTATCTCAACAGCGCTGTCTGGTGATGTATTTTTCCATTACAAACTGATGGTTTCTGATAGAGGAGAACAGTTATCCTGTTCTGTGTAAATGTCATGATGATGTCATAACATTTTCTCTCTCTTTTTTCTCCCCCCCCTCTCTCAGTTAATTTTCTCGATCACTAGTATGTTGCATTATATTGTTTAATAACCAAGGTAGGATCATTTTGCAATAATTATTATTCTGTATTCTATCTCTATTCTTTATCTGCTTTCTAGTGAAGTTGTATACACACACACCCATATACTAGTATATATCATATATTATATATTAGCTGTAGTATCAATACTGTCTCGTGTTCTTTGAAATCTTTTCTGCATCCACCTGTAATGCTCATTTCAAAACAATCTCTTTTCTACTTTTTTAGCTCTCCAACCTAAAGTGGTTGATGACTTGCTCACTATCAACCTCAGTGACAAAGAACTGACCTCCGTGCCAGCCGAGTTGTTTGACAACAGAGACGTCGAATGTCTTGTCCTGTCTGACAACAAGCTGACGAGCATACCTGAGGTGATAGGGCAACTACAGAAGCTTCAAAAGCTTGATCTTAAAAATAACCTGCTGACACAACTGCCCCAGGCAATCACCACTCTACCTAACCTACAGGACATTGACTTGTCACACAACAAGTTGGAGACATTGCCTGATGGATTCTCCAGGTTAAAACAACTTTATGGTCTCAACATCTGGTACAATGTATTCAAAGAGATACCAGAGGAAGTCTGTTCACTTCTTCGACTTCAGATCTTGAACTTGGCGTTCAACCCCCTCAAGTGTCTCCCTGACAAGATATCTCAGCTCACAGGGCTGACAATGCTTCATATCAATGATTGTCAGTTTGATGAGTTCCCCAGACATCTGCAGCTGGAGGGTCTACAGGGGCTATACATGGGGAACTGGGCTGGGGAGGACAAACCTTCCCTTGTACCTGAAGACATCGGCAGACTGAAGAACCTACAAGTCTTAGATGTGCAGAGGAGTGGCCTGGAGTCATTACCGGATGGTGTTGGGGAACTGATGCAGCTGAAGTACTTAAACATCTCTGACAACAGATTCACATCAGTTCCTGAACAAATCATGAACCTGTCCAACATCAGGGAGCTCCACTTGTCAGATAACAGAATTTCCCGCCTTCCCCTGACTCTGAGTCAAATGGCCCAACTTAAGAACATGTACATTGAAGACAACCCCCTGACATATCCCCCTCCTGATGTCTGTGAGAAAGGAACAGCTGCCATCATGGACTTCCTCAGAATGGAGCTGAAGAAAAAGGAAGGTATGTACCAAGGGGAAAGGCAAGATAAGATCGATGTGCCTCTGGCAGCATTTGCAGGTCCATAGGTTTTTTGCTGTAGAACCCGCAGTTATGATGTGCCTCAATATCGATAAGGTCAAGAGACTAAAAAAAAACAATGAAGATTGCACTGTGTAAACAGTCTGTGTGGGTGTACATGGTATGATTTTTTATCACTTAGATCATGAATTTTGCTTAAAATCAAAAGATATCCACTCTATACTGGATACTTTTTAAAATAATCTTTTAAAATTAAAATGTATGTTATTGCAGTATGCATCATAAATAATGTCAATGTTTCTCGTGGGGTTGTGTGGTGTAGTGGCAGAAGGCGCGACTTGGAACTTGGAGTCCCAGGTTCGAGTCCTGACATGCCACCGATCTTGTGCCCTTGGGAAAGGCACTTTACACAACTTTCCTCACTCAGCTCAGGTGTAAATGAGTATTGTCCTGTCATGTATTTGTCCCCTGTGTTGGTGACGGCATTAATATAAGTTGAAAAAACTTGAGTGTGTCGTCACCACGTCTGGTGATTACATGTTGGAATAAAAAAAATGTTTCATTTATCATAGATAAAGAACTGAGGAAGCTCTTCTCCCGTTTCTCACAAAATGTGACCAAAGCACACGAGGTGGAGGATCTGGCCGGAGCACTTGGGCTTTCCATAGAGGAGGTGAGCACTATCCAAGTAAATATTTTGTTCTGTCAACATTTGATTTGTTTGAAAATAAAAGATGGGTCATGCTTGTTCTTTGAGAGTATCTAAGTATACACTTAGATGAATGTTGAATGTTGCTACTAATTTGGCTTACCCTTCTACTGTTAGACTTCAAAGACCCAAATGCCAAGATCCCAGGCCTTTAAAGTCTTATTGAAGTGGATGGAGACAGACAGTGAAGCGTCCATGGACAAGCTTCAGCAGGAGCTGAGTGAATTTGGCATGGACCGTCTGGCACAGGAGGCAGGCCGAATCAAGGTATTGGCACCAAGTTGGCTTCAGTGTGTACAATTTTCTATATTTACATTACTACAATGTAATAGTAAAAACATTCCAGCTAACTTAAGATCTTGGTTTTACAGGCCCAACCAGTAAAGCGGCCGGCAGATGCATCAGGGGGGCCACCAGCCAAGCGACCGGCAGCCGGAGGGCCTTCTGGTGAGGGGCATCAGGAGGAGCAGCAGACCAAGGAGAAGATCAGACAGGCAGAACAGAAACTTGTACAGATGCAGCATCACAGTGAGATACAGGAGGCCAAGGTCCAGAGTCTCCAAGCAGAGTTATCCGGTCTTAGGGACAAGGAGAAGCGGGCTGAACAGAAACTTGTACAGATGCAGCATCACAGTGAGATACAGGAGGCCATGGTCCACAGTCTCCGTGCAGAGGTAACCAGGTTTAGGGACAAGGAGGAGCAGGCACAGAAGGTCCTGCTGGACCACAAGCTGGAAATACAACAACTACAGGAGGCTAACGTTGCCATGGCAACAAGAGTAGACGACCTTCTTCAGGACAACGAGAAACTCAGAAGTCAGGTCGTGCTTCTTGGAGGCGAACATGGTACAGCTTTCATTGACTTTGACTTGATTAGAATTCATTCATTCTTTCATTCACTTACACACTCACTTTATCATCTGTTGTTCCCCATCTTCCGAGGGTTAGACATGCTTGCACTGCACAACTGAGGCTTGATGGCAGCTCGCCACTTGCCTCTGAATTATAAGTTGTTTTGTAGTTGTGTTCAACTTGTTGATACAACCTGGTACAAGCCGTTACACTTACTGTTTGTAGCTGTGTTGTTGGTATTTATGACGCATGATGTAAGGGTTTACACTCAAGATGCATGCAAGTTGTTTTAGTCGAAGTGTATGGGACAAATGTTTTCAACTTCTTCCTAATGTAGTACTGACTTGTTAGTCTTCTAACTCTGTCCACAGCTGATGAACAGGCAACACAGGTGTTGGAACAGACCATCCTGATGTTCACAGAAAACGTCCTGCAGAAATCCAGGCAGAGCAAACCAACCCTGGAGGAGAGTGAGCGGGCTACTGCAGCAGGCAAGTGTGTTCTCATAGCTGCCAGGAGAATGATGAGTTTTTAGGAAGGGTTGAGTAATTGATAATAATTGGGCCTACTTTTGGGCCTCGACAGCCCCTAATTCTTGATTTATACCAGAGCTTTATACAATAGTAAATCTAACTTTTATTATCCCGGGGTTGTCGATTTATCTCTTCCTTGGTCAATTTCGTGGGGTTTGGCCTTCCACATTCACTTTTTTTGGTTTGTTTTCAGTTTGTAGAAAAGATAGAAAAATGTGCCCTCTCAAAACAATCTTGTTCAGTCTAAAAAGCAGGGACAATTGTTAAATCATAGGTTGAATTACGTTTGGGTGTCAGTCCTGAATATACATGTAATCCTGCTCCTTTTCCAGAAAGCCGTCTGCTGACGAAGCTGAGCTGCAGACTGGGTTCAGACTGGCGGCGGCTGGGAGCTGGCCTGGGGATCCCACAGCCACGACTGGACAGCATACAGGCACAGTACAACAACGCCATCCAGCGGGCCTGCAGGGTACTGCAGGTCTGGATTTGGGGAGGGCGCCACGGACTGCCTCACGACCTCAAGCAGCTGGAGACAGTCTTAAAGGACATGGACAGGCCTGATCTCTTAGACATTGTTAAGACTGCCTTCAAGGTGAGTTAGTTTAAGGTCGTAGAATACAAGGGAACGGCTGATCTTTGACATTGTGAAGAATGCCTTCAAGGTAAATATGGATCTTAGAACATTTGTTCAGGGCTGATCTCTTAGACATTGTGAAAACTGCTGCACAGTGATGCACAGTGTCTATAAAAATGTCCTAATTTCTAACACAGTTTAATCCCAGTCTTTGTTGCCTTTAAGGACTACATAGAGGAGATGCCGGAAGTGGAGGTTGAACCTGATGCTTCTGTAGATGAGCAGGGAGTCACAACATGGTGAGGCTGGTTCTTTTCTTTTTCTGGTCAAGTAAGAAGTTTGTCTTGAAGACATGCTTAAGTTAACACAGCCTATAAATTCTGGCAAAAGTGGAAAATGTTGATCAGCTTCTTCAAAATAATCTCAAGGATGCAGAATTTTGTTGCAGAAAGTCACCTGGCAACCTTTATTTCTTTGTTATTTTCAGAAATGTAGAAAATTGCATATAACTAGCCTAGGGTAATTGTAGTGCAGCACTCACTAACATGAAAGGAGTTGACTACTGGTACATGTGTAGAAGGATTCTGTGGGCATGTCTGTGTTTTAACTTGGTTGTATTGATGACTGACTCTGTTGGTTGTTATAAGGTCTGTACAACTGCCTGGCCGGGGGAAGTTCCTGTGCAAACACACTGACCTGGGGGTCGTTACCCCCTGCCCCGTCCAGCTGACCTACAGGACAGTGAACCTGTCTGAACACTGGCTGGAGAGCGAGGACTGGGAGCTGATTGGTCCGCTCTTCCACATCCAGTGTAACCATGGTGATGATGTACCTGTGGAGCTCCTCCTGCCGCACATCCTGGACCTGTCACAGGAGGACAGCAGTGGTGATGACAAATCATATCCAGAAATGTTCCTGCCTACATGTACAAAATGTAGTCCTACTCCAGAATGGGATAGGAGTCATAGGACCAGACACTGTTCCGGATAGTCTCTATTGTTTCCAGAACCGTGTCTATGTAGTTCTATGCCTGAATGGGTTAGGGTTAGGATCAGGCACGGTTCTGGATAGTCTCTGTTGTATCCATAATTGTGCCTGTCTAGTTCTATGCCTGAATGGGTTAGGGTTAGGATCAGGCACGGTTCTGGATAGTCTCTATTGTTTCCAGAACCGTGTCTATCTAGTTCTATGTCTGAATGGGTTAGGGTTGGGATGGCACTGTTGTGGATAGTCTCCAGGTATCCAAGAACATAGATTTGTCTCAGGCATGGTTCAGGATGCAGGGTGGACTATCCAGAACTGTGCCTTAGTATGGTTCTGGATAAAGCACAGTTCTGGATATAACAGAACCTGGTTCTTTTTTGCACAAGATGACTTCTGAGAGTTACCATTGAAGGCTGCGCTAGTACTGGACAATCCCCAACAAAATGAATGATGAACTGGTTGTTGTGGCATGAGTCGCACCTGTTGTATCCAGAGCCATGCCTATCTTAAGTTCTACTCCTGAATCGGTTAGGGTTGGGATAAGGCAGAGTTCTGGACAGTCTCTCTGCATCTCGCAAGAAGTTTGTATTTGGAGTGTCTCAGGTTTTCTTCTTCCCCCCATAAGTTAATGAGACTTATTTGACATTCGTTCTGATGAGGTTATGTCCATCACTGCACTTTCCCCACAGCTCTATCCCCGGATGACGTCAGAGCTGCGCATGTTGTGGCAGGAAACACGACACTTCATCCTGCAGACATCACCCCCACTCACTTCCTTACCAGGCATCGGAACGGATGCTTCTGGTCTCCCGTGATGCAGAGAATTCGAGCCCTCATCTGGCCCAGGAGGGGCCTGCTCACTCTCTTCAAAACGTCTCAGACACACGACACTGTGGAGGTGAAGGCTGTCATGGTCTCAAACACTAAGTACAGTGTCCAGGTAAGTCACTGTCACCTTGGTTGTCATGTGGATTTCTAGACTTAGAAAGAGAAACTTAATATTGATTTCTCTACGAGAAGGTTGTTTATTCCACAACCATGGGTTTACACAACCAAAGTTTCAGTTATCCAACTCAAACTCATTTGTCATGCATTGTTGCCCTGAAGATGGTCACCAAAATGTCGCCCTGGTTGTTGAATGAAGAACCTTGAAGATAGTCTCTCACCAACGTGATGACATTATTCAGAATCACATTAAGAAATGTTAAATACATTGATCCCCTAATATGATTGTATATTGTTCAGGCATTGCAGAAATATTTGTCGCAGCTTGACCCAAAGTTCTACTGGTGGGACTCCATCACCTGCCCAGGCCTCCGGGCTCACCAGATCTACTGTCTGCAGGCTTCCGTGGAAAATGGAACTCTGGATCTTGCTGACCCAGAGGTGAGTTGTGGAGTGTTGCATAAGCGCGCTTACACGCCTGGGTGATTGACATGAAAATATTATTGAATTGTCCTCAAGACTATTTGCAAAGAAGCATCTTAATCCAAGTCCTTGTTGTGTTTTACTTTTCTTAAAGTTTGTGGAAACAGCAAAATGCAGACTTTCTTCTAAAGTACATGTTGTTAGGATAGTGAATTGTTCATTATCAGCTCATCAAATAGTGGATCAGCAACATTTCTTGACAAACTGTTGATGTCTTCTTATTTTGTTGCCAGTTTCAGTCATTTATTATATGTGTTTAAACTTCTGTTTTAGCCTCCTAGCGGACTGGAGTATGAAGACACCCTGGACAGCAACAGGATCTACCCGTCGTTCCACCTGAATGTCAAGAGACACCCGGATAGTGGATGGGTGCAGCTGAACCTGCAGCTGTATCCAGAGACGGAGGACAGTAACGTTGTCTGCAGCTGTAAAAGGCGTTTAATATGTAAGGTCACTTCAGATTTGAGTCACACCTGTACTATTATGTTTGGAGAACTTTGATACAAAAATTGAATTTGTAATATGTCCATCGTATAACATTCCTGTCCTCAATACATGTTCACATTGTGATTCTGTACAGCCAGTAACCTTTCACTTACATGTATGTCATTTGTAGAAAGTTGTTTCATAGATGTGTTACGAAGAAGTGAGTATAAATTAACCCTAGATTTAGGCAGGAAATTTGATACGGTCTTCAAGTATGACTGCGTCTTAATGATTTAAAAGTAACTATCACCCATTGTTCATCCTAGATGGTGGAGCTGAAGCTGGACCTAGTGACAGTGAAGGTAAGGTGTCACAAATGTTGAAAAGCGTAATTACATTTCTGGGTTAGTACATTTGTTTTCAACAATGAAATTTCTTCAATATCTTACAATCATTTAATTTATTAAGCCACATTTAGACCAGTTCATTTTGATAGCTCTTTCAAGAATGTACAATCTTTTTTTTTACCAGTAAATACAAATTGGCAGGGCACGATAATCGAGCTAAATATCAAATTTCTCTCCTTCCATTCCCACCAGATGTCAGAAAACACTTCTTCTTCATAAAAGAGAACGTCAGCACTGACTGGATAAACCTGGCTCACTTCCTGGGCTTCACAAGACCGGCCATTGATGCAATTCAGTACAAGCCAGCCAACCGTGATGCCAAGGACTGCTGCATGGACATGTTGGAGCAGTGGAGGACACAGAGAGGCGCCGCCGCCACCTTACAGGTACTTCTGCAGGCTCTGACTGAGGCAGGGCTACAGGACACTGTGGATCAGCTCAACACCATGTAGATACAGGCTCTGACTGAGGCAGGGCTACAGGACACTGTGGATCAGCTCAACACCATGTAGATACAGGCTCTGACTGAGGCAGGGCTACAGGACACTGTGGATCAGCTCAACACCATGTAGATACATAATGTAACCTTGGGCTTTACATTTGATCAGAGGATTGGACATACCAGAAGCTAGATCTAAAGACTAATAGAAGCTAGTACCAGTAACTCATTTTTACCTGACTGAAGTGAAGACTTTGGTACAAAGTGCCTTATCAATGAAGCATTGGTTCATATGTGTAATATGGAATATTAGCCAACATTCAACTAGTGTGTACAATCATTTAACCAACACAAACCAACTGTGAAAGCAACATGTTGGAATGATATTTTGTGAATCATTACGTATGACTACTTTATTATGGCTGTACACCTGTAATGCACAATAATATATACAACAGCATCATAGACTGGCCCCTTTGCTGATTGCACTAGTGATTGATATGGCAAGTAAGGTTGCAGTTTGTAATAATTCAAGATACATCCTGTGATCTTCAGACCATTTGAGACTGAACTGCTGGTATCCACTTTAAAGCATTTTTCTCAGCAGGACAACGCTGTAATTATATAATATGAAACATTGATTATTTCAATACTGCATTTGAATTGTTGACAGAGATGTTTTATCCAGAACGGTGCTTTACCTAGAACCATGCTTAGGTAAATTCTGTAATGTCCACATGTACATGCATCTGGTGTAAATACATGTTGTAAATACACAAATGACTTTAAGATCCATTTTCACTTGAGTCTAGTGGGGAAAGTTGTGTAAAGTGCCTTTCCCAAGGGCACAAGATCGGTGGCGTGTCAGGACTCGAACCCGGGACCTCTTGGTTCCGAGTCATGCATGCTGCTGTTGCAACCCCACATCTATTTTATTAATTATATCACTTTAGTGGAAAAGAGAAATTATGTATTTGTATATTTTTGAGAAGGTGATATTTGATATTGTGAAAATGTATCTGTATCTGTATCAGTATAGCCGGAATAACCGCCTTTTGGCGTAACACACCAGCATGTACTCAATACTTAAGGGGTATCTACAAATAAGTCACAGTTGTGATGTTCTGTTACTTATACTTGGTAAATATAGTACAAGTAACGTTATATGTACCAAGTTTGTCTATCATCAGATTTCTGATTGGCCAGCAAGTACCGTATGTGTCAATCATGAAATATTACTTTCTGATTGTTTCATGTAACTTAAGTGAAATGAAATAATTTTTGTGTTATTTTGTCCAATTTTGGGTCTGGTGTGATGGTACTGAGTTTTAGAAAAGTTATCTCAAATGTAGCCAAAGAGTTTGTCCTTGGTGCTGAAATCCTGGTTACACCATTTCCTCAGTTTTCTGTCATTTCTAGTGAAAATTTGGAAAGAGGCATGGAAGAAAAAGTTGAATCTGACTACATGTACATAGAGTTGTTTTATGTTCATATTCCAGTTCAGCATTGCAACTGGAACTAACCAATTGAAGAGTTGTAAATTCACAGCACATTTGTTTCCAGAATCGGAGGTGAATATTTGTCCTTCTATGCACCACCTTGTTAATAGGATAACTTAAGTCACAAAGGTTTATACATATAATACTTTAGCTGTTTATTTCTGTATGGTATGGTGTACATTGTGTACTTGAACATGTATAACGTCAGGGCCCGGGTTATCTTAGTATATAGTTACAACTACTATACTAAGTCTTACTATACTATAGTTACTATACTTACAACATAGTCATTAGAAAAGGTGGCAAGTACCAATAATACTGTCAATGTTGTAAGTGCCAAGGAGGACACTTTATAACCGTACCAAATATCATCTGACATATTAGTCCTTCCTTCAGGCATGTATTTTACACACATTTTCCCTCATTATAATCCTAGAAATATTTTAGTTGAGTATTGGTTGTTTTCTCAATCTTTACATATGTCCTCTTGATTTATGTATAATTTCATTTATTCTCTATTTTTAGATGATGATGATGATTTAGTGTGTCTTATAAGCCATAGTGGCTGGGTGCATAAACACAGACACCTAGACCAAGCTTCATTCATTCACTCTTTTATTCATCAAAGACCACCACATTGATTATATACTTCTCCTCTCCATCCCTTGCCAGATATAACGCCATGCCTTTCTCCTTACATCTGGGTAGATTCTACATGATACACATGATATCCTAGCTTTATTTCTGTGTGCATGAGTTTAATATTGTTGTGAACCCTGTGTTCAAAAAGCGCTGCCTGGCGCCGATCTGGGTACTACAGCTTTCATCTCACCTGGTGGGAGTGGCTGTCATGTGACCAACCCGGAAGTCATTCACGGTTAGAAAAGAAAGAGGAACTTCCATTGTGTGTTGGTTTCTACAGACCGAAAGAACTTCAAACTCTTCCCTAGAACACTTGTAAGAAACAGGAGGAGCCTCTAAAAACCCTTCTGGTCCCGGGCCGGGGTTCGAACTCACAACCTCCCGGGTCCCAGTCAGACACTCTAAGCACTCGGCCAAAAAGGTCTAGACCCATCGGCCGGGTCAGTTGGTAGCGCCTATAAACCCACCACTGTTATGCTACTCCCCCTTTTCTTTTCAAGATTCGTCCTCGAATCTTCCGAATTCGACATCCCTGGAGCGGCACTCTTTGCCAGAACTCCCAGGGCCGGTGTGGGACCCACTGTAGAAACAGAGGCAAGCAGTAAAAACCCCACTGGTCCCGGGCCGGGGTTCGAACTCACAACCTCCCAGGCCCCAGTCAGACACTCTAACCACTCAGCTGAAAAGGTCTAGACCCATTTGCCGGATCTGAACACATGTGAGTGATTGTGTATACTTATGTATACTTGTGCCACCATTTAACATTGAATTTTATAAAACCAGCCTACAATACAAACTAAAATAAACCATTCTCCATGACAGGGCTCGAAATTCATTTTTGGGACCTAAAAAATTAGATGCACAGAAAAATTTTTGGGTGCACCATATAAAACAAAACTTAATTACAGATCTTACTAGTCCTCTTCTGAGCTTGAATCTTAAACTACTAACTGCTAACTTCAAAATCTTACTTAAAAAAGTACTACGGCAAAGGTTTTATTATTTTTCTGACACTTAGATGCCAAGAATATCATATACTGTTATACATTTAATATGTACAATTTACAATACCTACAAGAATATTTAGGTGCACCGGTGCACCCACAGAAAAAAATAGGGAGCACACCTCGAAATTTGGGTGCACCCAGTATTTCGAGCCCTGCATCAGTAAGATCACATTTTTGCCTCACAGATATCAAGTATACTATAAATTGTACTACAGGATAGGGTTGATTCAACTTACTATGTTAAATGACCAGAAAATTGACTTTGAAAATCCAGTTTTGCTGCAGCTGTGAAATTGCATTGAATGCCTTTTACCGGGTTACATCTTATATTAAGCGTCGGTCACAACCCGCTGTACGTGCTCCTGCGTGCTGTCTACATGCAAAAACGTGGGCAAACCTAGGGGATTTGGGAGCACGCAGACACGCCATAGAACTTTAAGTGCATGTAAAACTTTTTCTGCATGTGGTCTGCTGATTCACGTCCCGTACGAAAGACGCACGTGTGAGTACGGCCTCCTTACGGTAAAGTGGCAATCGCACAGAGATCGTACATTGTAAGCAAGTACAACTCACTTACCACTTGCGCAACGAACGATGCACGCAACCGCTCACGGCCAGACGTAGCGTGCAGACCACACTCTTACACCTTGTGCAACCGCGTGACGTGCGTCAACGCCACTCCTTCCCCACGTTTTTAGAAAAACGTAGCAAACGTGGCCTCCCAATAAAACGTACGGACAAAAAGCACACACAGCGGGTTGTGACGGACGCTTTACACATACCTGTCTGTCCATGGAGGTGGTGATGACTTGGTTCTGTATAGCTGTGATACTGAACACCACCCGGGAGTGACCCTGACCTTCACTATGCTCCAGCACCTGCCACTTCTGTGTCCTCAGGTCCCACACTAACATGTCACCACTGAGAAGCATTGAGACAAAAAAAACAAGTTACACATGCATTTACATATATTACATGTACATGTACATACACAGCCTAATGATTGAGGGCCTAATAATGTGACACTTATGCCTATCCACATTTGTATGTGCTTTGTGCCCTAGCAGATTCTTTGGAACTGCTAGGTTGTTTTAAAAATTGTTTAACGTGGCAGAACACAGTTTTCGGCCTATGGGGATTCCTATACTTAAGCACCCCGAGGTGACTCACTTCGACGCGGTAAAAATTATAGTAGGGTGCACTAAAGAATCACGGCCAACTAATATGTTGAAATATACGGTATATTCTACAAAATAACTGAAAACAAAAAAAAGTTATGATTTTTTAACATAATGACGACCACTTCGATTTGGCCCTCTACCGGGGTCAATGGAACTGCAGCCGGCTCACCCTGGAACGTGGTTGCGTAATGCAGTGCATTTGTATACACGAACAGAGAAATCTTCACAATCCAACTCATACGGCGTACAAGCCGATACCTTTCTATACCACACAGCACAGTTCATTCATGGCTACCTCTGAAATAAGTCCCTCTAGCCAGGATTCAAGAGGTTTGTCTGCACTACTTTCTATACCCGCATCATTGACCCCGGGGGTCGCCCATTAATACTGTGTTCTGCAGCCTTAAACATCTTTGAAGGATTCTCATTTATAATATGTTTACACTAATGGAGATCCCAAGAAAACAAACAAACAAACAAACCCATGTGAACTGGAGATGAGTTGTTGAGGCTGTTCCTTTCTCCAGGCCAGAGCTACCCACATCCTCCTGCCTGCCTCCTGCCCCCCTCCCCCCCGCCATCTGCCCTGCTGAGACCTGGCTGGTAGCTTCAGCGTGCACACACAGCCCCCAGTCCTGGTGCTCCACACACGGATAGTTCCATCCTTACTGCCTGATGCAAGCAGCTGGCCATGTCCTTTATCTGCAATGCTTTCTGCAAGGTATGAAGAAAATTCACTGAAAGTCTGCACAGTATTCTTAAAGAAAGACATATTTTGGCCCCAACGGTTGAAGAAAGTCCTTTTCTTCCTAGTTGTTCAAGTTTTTCAATGCAATTTTTACAATTTTAACAATGCAATTTTGTTTCGATGAAAGTTCAAAATCTTAAGTTTTAATTATAAACCAGCCTGGTATGTTCACTTCATGGCCCATATTGTAATATTTCTGGCTATCATGGGGTGCCTTGGCCTGTTTTTTTTTTTAATTTCACCCTGTTTCTTCATATTTTTTCTGACGTTAGGTTAGATATGGACTAGAGAAGCACCTGCAGATAAGATTGGGGAGTAGAGGTGTCACCAGTGCCCAGTGTTTGAAAACTGAAAAGTATCTTGAGGCCAACAAGAAATGTTCATAACAAAAACTGACATGCAAACATCCATGTTTGTAGGTACATATAGGTGACAACTTGACTACAGTGCGGAATTTCATCATTGCGGTTGTATTGATTGGGCAATTGTACCTTGTTTTGGTCACTTTGGTATAAGCCTTTAGCATTTTCTGGTACATGTACTTCTTCAAGAATGTGGCCAATGGAAGTTGTGTTTGACACTGCAGTTGTTGATATCTTTAGGCCACACCAAGTTAATTTGTTGTTTCTCCGATTATTTCAGAAAAAATATGAAGGGCGAAATAAGAATAAAAAAAAAAAAACAGGCCAAGGCACCCCATGAAAGGTAGAAATGTTACGATAATGAAACAAAGTTGCATTGTTACATTGAAAAAATGTAACAACTACGAAGAAAAGGACTTTCTTCAACTGTTGGGGCCAAAATATGTCTTTCATTGAGCATTTTGCAGTTGAGTAAATTTTTTTTTTTGCAAATCAGAAAAAAATGGACAGGGTGAATCTGAGAAACAACAAATTAAATTGGTGTGGCCTTACCATCAGAGGAAGTTCCATTGTCATCATTATCCTCATCAGCTGCCATCCAGACGACAGACTGCACGTCCTCGCTGTGCCCCTGCAGTCGGCAGACTGTCCTCCCCTCTCCCTGTAACTCCAGCAGGACAACTGGACCTGACTTTAACCTGAAACAGTCAACAACAGATCTCTAGTATTATCATGTTAATCCGTGTTGGTAGTTACATGTTAAGAGTTAAAAGTTTTGGTCCAACACAAGTAAGTTCTCTCACCTAGAGCTTTTGACCAGTCACTCTTGTCTTCCTCAGGGGTAAAGGAGGCCATATACATCAGGGCCCATCACCCTTCATTGAACCGCAACGGTGGCCGACATCTACCAGATACCTTTGACCCAGTGTTGACGTCACACTTCAAAGAAGCCACGTGACAAGCTTCACTGGGTCAGTCTACTAAGGAAGACCAGAGTGACTGGTCGAAAGCTCTAGGTGAGAGAACTTTCATGTGTTGGACCAAAAGTTTTAACTCTTAACAGATCTCTAGTAGTATGCATACCTGAGTGTAAAATCATATTTACAGGTACTGGACTACTGGTATAGGGGTTTAGGTATAGGCCAGGACCTTTACCTTTACCTGAACTATTTGACAAACTCTTCTGAACTTATTCAATGAAACAGAATAAACTTGAAAGAATCTTTCTTCAAATAAGACAGGATAGAGCTAGATGGCCTTATGTCTTATTCAAGCAAAACAGAACAAACATCTGTGTTGGTATATATGATTATGGTAATCTTTCATTGTATGATGCTAAACTTAATTCCAACACAAAGAGTACATAAGAATCAAATTTTTAACGAAAACAGAACACAGTTATCAAAAAGAGTAGGGGTCTTTCTTGGTGTGAGTGGACCATTCTCTCCAAGATTGGGTAGGGAATTCAAATTTGCCAAGCAGCCTTTGTAACCTTGAAGTGTCCTTCAGATCACACTTTGAAGTGGCCTTCAGGCCTTGTTACCTACAAATGTACATGCCTTCAAATATCAGAGTTATCAACCAAGAATTGAGGTGTTCAAAAACTCGAAATTCCCCAGAACTATTGTAGACTGGAACTCGTTGCCACCAAGCACAGTTGGGGCATCATCAATAGAAAGCTTTAAACAAGTCCTGCAATCAAATGTACAAAGATTGAGTGTAACAAGTCATTCGGTGTGATAAAGCTAGCTGCCACTGTGCCACGTGCCTGTGAAGCTGGTGTGTTACACCGAAGGGCGGTTATACCGGCTATACCGATACAGATTCATGTATCAATATGCAAAAAATATTCATTAAGAAATTAATAAAAACCTGTACCCTGCAGCCAGAAGGTGTGGTTGATGAGGAGAACATGCCAAACTGACGATGTGACTGTTGGCATCAGGCTGAAAGGTCTGGACTTCTCCAGTCTGGAACTGCCACTTCACGATGTAGCCGTCCTGGTCTGCTGATACAACAGTGTTCTCTTCAGCTGGGTACCACACCAGGGCTGTAACCGGGCTCTGGGACCAAAACATCAAATTCACAGTCTAAAAGTACATTCTCATCCCATATTACATACTATCATGAAAGTTCATCTGTGTTGGTAGTTACATGTTTAGAGTTAAAACTTTTGGTCCAACACAAAAAAAAGTTCTCTCACCAAGAGCTCAACACACCCACATAGAGTCACCCGGACACTTTGTTTCACTTGACACTAACGATTTTGGACACTGAACAAGACTATTTCTTGAGAGGGGTGAAGGAGGCCATATACATCAGGGCCCATCATTCAACCACAACGGGGGACCCAGTGTTGACGTCACACTTCACATAAGCCATGTGACAAGCTTCACTGGGTCAGTCTACTGAGGAAGACCAGAGTGACTGGTCGAAAGCTCTAGGTGAGAGAACTTTTTTGTGTTGGACCAAAAGTTTTAACTCTAAACATACTACATACTACGCTCAACAATAAAGGTGTCTGTCCTTGGTGCTGATTTGCCATCATCTAAAACTCACTGTTCTCTACAGGCCAGCTAAGGGTTGTTTTACTGACCCATGTGGATACAGGGTGGGTAGCTATAGCTACAGTGGGTATCCCACACCTGTATTACACCTGTACCACACCTGTATCACACCTATCTTAAATCTGAAGGACCTAGCATGTGTTATTCCTGAGTATAAAGGCAGGTGAGAGAGTCTGTGTCCCACACCTGTACCACACCTGTACCACACCTGTGCCACACCTGTACTACACCTGTATCACACCTATTTTAAATCTGAAGGACCTAGCATGTGTTATTCCTGAGTATGAAGGCAGGTGAGAGAGTCTGTATTCCACACCTGTACTACACCTGTACCACACCTGTTGCAAATCTGTAGGACGTACCCTGTGTTGTTCCTGAGTATAAAGGCAGGTGAGAGAGTCTGTATCCCACACCTGTACCACACCTGTACCACACCTGTTGTAAATCTGTAGGACGTACCCTGTGTTGTTCCTGAGTATGAAGGCAGGTGAGAGAGTCTGTGTCCCACACCTGTACCACACCTGTACCACACCTGTTGTAAATCTGTAGGACGTACCCTGTGTTGTTCCTGAGTATGAAGGCAGGTAAGAGAGTCTGTATCCCACACCTGTACCACACCTGTTGTAAATCTGTAGGACGTACCCTGTGTTGTTCCTGAGTATGAAGGCAGGTGAGAGAGTCTGTATTCCACACCTGTACCACACCTGTACCACACCTGTATCACACCTGTTATAAATCTGTAGGACGTACCCTGTGTTGTTCCTGAGTATGAAGGCAGGTGAGAGAGTCTGTATCCCACACCTGTATCACACCTGTTGTAAATCTGTAGGACGTACCCTGTGTTGTTCCTGAGTATGAAGGCAGGTGAGAGAGTCTGTGTCCCACACCTGTACCACACCTGTTGTAAATCTGTAGGACGTACCCTGTGTTGTTCCTGAGTATGAAGGCAGGTGAGAGAGTCTGTGTCCCACACCTGTACCACACCGTTGTCCCCACTGGTCACACACAGTCTGTCCTGGCCTGGAGTCAGACTGAAGACACATCCTGTCACCCGCGCACAGGCACAGAGTAGACAGCCTGCACAACATATATAACAGAGACAGCCATTAGTGGTAGTGTAACAGTGTGGTTCAACCAACACCAACTGACCTGTCTTATAGTTATGTTTACCGAAGGAAAACATATTGTTATTACTCAGTTTCTTCCTCCTCTTCTGTTCCAAACACTAACCTCTAACCTGGCCAATGACATGATTTGTTGACATCTGTCACCATGGTGACTGGTGTTGGGTTACATAATGTTGCAATTTCATGGTCTGCTAGATGCTCCTGTCACCATATACTTGTAGTAAATGTATGCGAATGTGTTTGAGTAAAAATTAACAGGCCAGACCATATCCGAAGGTAAACATTAAGCATTTCTTTGCAAATGTTACTTCTCTAATTATAGCTCTGGACCTTTTAGCTAGCCTAGTGGTTGGTGTGTTGGGTTCATGAGCTAGCAGCCTGGAAATTCCCAGGAGACTGTGGCTGGGGGCCTGGGTTCAATTCCAGCAGACTGTGTTACTACTCATCCCTTTCTGCTTCATTGGTTTCCACACAAAGAAATTGAACCTGTCTTGGAAATTCGTCTGTGTTGGTAAAAGTCATTATGAAGTACCAGAGTTATCAACCAAGGATTGAGGTGTTCAAGAATTCATTCTTTCCTAGAACTATCGCAGAATGGAACTCACTGTCACCAAGTACAGTAGGGGCATTGTCATTAGATAGCTTTAAACAATGTTTAGAGTTAGATGTCCAAGGGCTAGGTGTAACAAGTCGATCAGTGTAATGTAGCCAGCTGCCGCCACGCCACGTGTCTGCGAAGCTGGTGTGTTAGTAACACATGTGTTACACCAAAAGGCAATTACACTGGTTAAACAGATACAGAAGTTTGAACTGCAATATTTGGAATCGAACCTGGGCATTGGTAGCCCCTTGGGAAAGGCACTTTACACAACTTTCCTCTAGCTTTGATGAGAGATGTTAGATCATCCCTGGGATCATCATCATAGCTTGTCGCCAATACACTCCAGCCAGTTCTGGGATAGGATGTTAAAATTATGGATGTCCTGTGTTTGGGGAAAGCCACGTCCTTAAAGAGCCCACCACAACTTTACTATGTTGTCATTACATAATTTAATACTCATTTATATAATTTATGTCTAACAGTGAACAGTTACTCATAATCATTTGCTATTACAGGTTAAATGTTGAATTTTGGTAACTTACATAATTAATTTGAAGCAGCACTTTAAACAGTGCAGAGGTCTGACTCCCTTACCTGTAACCGACGGGACTGTCCTCGTCACATCTAGAAGATACACGGCATTCTTAGCGCAAAAACCGAACACACCAGCTTTGGTGGCATCCGCCACGCCGCCGAAAAACCAATTTGGAGAGGGGGGCAGCATGACAACCCCCTCCCTCACACTGTTCATGGAGCGCGCCATCTTTGCACAAGAAATAAAAGGCATCCGATTGTGAGCCTTTCATTACAGGTTTATACATGTCCACTGAAATGTCACCTCAAGAGAACTCTGACCTTCTTTTCAAAGCAAATTGTCAAAAACATAGTATTTTATTTTTACACGTGATATTTATAACGTTACATGTAACTGATCGAAATAACAACTCTCTAACGTATAATAGTGCGCGAATGTAATGCTTGGTATATTTTCCAGCTGATTACTAGTCGGTTGTAACCATTCATTACCAGGGTGTTAGATTAAAAAGTAAGCAGTTTGACGGCATTTCGTAGAATTTTGTTTCCTAGAAATAAATCACTATATTTTACTATTTATAACATTGGAAAAATGGTATTATGGTTTGATAAAAGCTTCTAATGTTTCATATTGAGAGTAGGCCCACACCCCCATTCTATCTAATGAATCAATCCATAACCAAAATGGCAGACAAGCAGGAACAGGATTCGAACATTTGAGATCGTACAGTGAGTCAGCGTAATAGAACAAAATAAGTGTGGTTTTCAAGATACCAGCAGAACCATCCGTGTACAAAGCAGGATGCGACGAGGAGTGAAAGCAACTTCGGCGCCTGCAAAGATCGTAAGTGGTGACTTTTTCCAAGGAGAAATATGAACCTCAATTTTTTTGCTTGCCAAATTTTTATATGAGCTCGATCACATCTGCATAGGACCAGTAACGTCTTGGGTAAAAATGAAGGTATTTTCTTTGGTCTGTGTTTGTGTGCGCGCGCATGTATCTGTGTGTGTGTGTGTGTGTGTGTGTGTGTGTGTCTGTCTGTGTGATCCTATTAAAGTGTGTTTGTGTGTCTGTGTGATCCTGTGTGTGTGTGTGTGTGATCCTGAGTGTGTTTGTGTGATCCTGTGTGTGTGTGTGTGTGTGTGTGCGCGCGCGCATGTATCTGTGTCTGTGTGTGTGTGTGTGTCTGTCTGTGTGATCCTATTAAAGTGTGTTTGTGTGTCTGTGTGATCCTGTGTGTGTGTGTGTGATCCTGAGTGTGTTTGTGTGATCCTGTGTGTGTGTGTGTGTGTGTGTGTGTGCACATGTATCTGTGTGTGTGTGTGTGTGT